CAGCATCTCTTTATTATGCTCTTGAGTTAGGCTCAGAACTTGTCTGATATCTTAACCATGATTAATTATAACTTCCCCGTGACAACGCATTGTTAATTCACGGGACACATCAAAGAAAAATCACGGCTTTCAAAACGAATCTTCATATTGTGTAGCAGACATTTAACTTAGAAACTGAACTGGAAGGTTAGTCTTCCTATATGCTCATTGAAGAAGAGAGTTACTCCTGTTAGAGTCATGCTGGGAATCGCCTGGTGGAAGTCTCTGCCTTCACGCTGAGCAGGAAGCTGAACCCTGCCTAGCTTCCTAATGTAGCACTTGAGTCAGGTGTCTGAAGCTAATCAACATCAATACCGTATCAGAAATGGAGTAGCATCTACTTTAAGGTGCTCTCCTCCTGTGTCTTCAAGCTTTGGGCAAAAAGAAATCTCCCTTGTGGCACTGCCATGCATAATAACAGTGAGCATAGCAAAGGCTGGTATATATCCTGTGCTGTATCATCCGCTCTCCTCTCCGGTGACTACAGTCCCCTGCAGCTCTCTGAGACATCCCTGACCTTGACACTTTCATAGTGCCAGGCATGGACTCAACCCCATGGTGTTGTGATGGAGGTTTGAACTGCAGAACATGGGTCAGAATTAGACTGTTTCAAGAAAAAGAACAAACAACATGTGAAGCTGCTATGAAGAAACCCTTGCTGTCCACAAATGGAAGACTTCAGCTGGGCTGCAGCACCCCATATAACTGGAGGGAAAGGCTCCCTCCTGCCTGCCATAGCGGTAAAATACAGACCTTCACAAATCACTGTGTATAGCAGAAAGGACATCAAATGCAGAGCTGAAAAATAACAAGCAGATGTGGAAGGGGCAGAAAGAAACTGCAAGGAGCATCTACAGTATGATACCAAAACAAGGGACAGGCTATGTTTCTTTTCATTTTTCCCATCCCTAGCTCTAAAGACAAAAGAAATTCAGCCGTTGTGCCTGGATAACGTTGGGGGGGAACTGAGACTATTTCCTAGGTAAACACCCACTCCCAGTCCTCAGAGGCACCCTTTTAAAAGTTTTCCCACCGAGGATGAGAAAGCAGCAGCTTTTGCTGGTGCTGGCCCAGCACCCTGAAGTGGCATCAGAAGTCAGAAACAGGAAAAGGGAGCAGTCCCAGCCGGGGTGGCTGACAGCAGTGCACAGCCCTTTCTCTGCTTTGACACATTTTCCAGGCGAAGGCCAGCACCAGTGAGGCAGGAGGGAGCCCTGCTTGCCCCTGAGGTGTGTGCACAGGTCTGGTGCTGCACCCACCCACCTCTGCGTGATATGGCCAGTACCATTTGGTGGGCACAGAGGTAGGGAGATAGAGACATGCCTGTTGGTAATCTGCTGGCCGCCTGTGTAGCATGAGGCATGCAGCTGGCCCATCAACACATGGCACCTGAGGTGGCCCGGGAAGCAAAAGTGTAAAGGACACAGGGGCAGTGCAGATGTGCTGCCAGGGAGGTGCATCCTCTAGACCTTGCTCTCTGCTGGGTCTTCTGCTCTGCTCACAGGGAAACCCACTCCAGCAAAGTCCTCGTGCTGTGGTCCATCTCCTGTCCTGCCTCTTGTGTGCCCTGGGGCACTTCAGCAAGTCAGGAGAGTTGCAATCTGAAAGCCAAGGGCTTGGGCATCTCTGTTTGGGGGCAGAGCCAAAACGCAAGGAGCACTGCACTCCTTTGGCAGAGCTGTCACCCAGGAAGGCAACACCACACGGACATTGGCAGGTGGTTTTGGGTGAAATCTGCTTAATTGGAAAGAGAAGGCAGCGTGAAGACCTGTAAAGAGGGGAGTGGTGGGTTTGCAGATGTATAGACGCAGTTATTACAGATACACAGTTTTTACAGTAAAGCTGCGTCTCTTCCAGCCTGAGTAAAGGCTGGAATTGTATTTAAAGGTGATGGTGTACGAAGAAGTACAATTTAGCTCCTGAACTATGTTAGCACTTTTACAATCTACATTTCTTCTTGGAGGGAGGGATATTGTCGGTTAGTGCATACGATTACATCCTGCTTGTAATGAAATCTTCTCCGGCGTAATTATGCTAAGAGCTTCCTAAATATGGGAATGCTTTAAAACATTCACCTTTCCTTTCTGTTTCAGCAAAGGAGAAATGATACCACAATATAAAAAGTAAACCAAACAGAAAGGAAGAGATTATTTCTGTATTGATAAAGGGCAACGTATAATAATAGGAGTGAGACCAGTCTTGAATCTAATGCACCAGACACAATTACTAGGATTGTCTCTCTTCTGCTTTCTCTCCCAGGCTCCAGGAGAAAGAAGAATCAATTAACTCTCTGCAGACTATGACCTTGAAGGATACAGCTTTAAGCAGAGTATGCTGAGTAAGACAGAAACAGAGGAGAAGATGAGAAAAGGATTTGGAAACTCATGGAAGGTCTTGGTTCAGGAACAATATATCAGCCACAGAATATGAGACGTGTCAGTTCTTTTTTATTTCTGCACTGGAAAAAAAAAAACCTATCAGCACAAAAGGGGCTTTCTGGAAACCAGTTACCTCACTCTGTCTGAAATGGAAAAAAAAGGACACTGAGAGGCAAAAGAAGGGACAATCCAATTTGCAGATGCTACTTTCCAGGCCATCTCCCTGAGAATTTTATAGCTGTCAAAGGCATTCATAAAAAAAAAAGTTATCACTGGTGCAGTCTGTCAACCTCTCCAACAAATCTTGCTCTACATAAAATACAATGATGTGTTTGAAATGCAGCTGTTTCAAAAACCCCAAGACAGTGCTTTTAGAGCTCTCCAAAAAGTTCTTTTCATGCCTTTTTGAATTCTTAGGCAGATATTCTGCAGTGTAGTTTTCCAGCTATATTTTCTCATTTTTCTTTGCAGGAAATTGCAGCTCCTTGCCATAGGCAGAATTATATGCCACAATTATAATAAATACTGTCTACACAACCTTCTCCCTCAGAGCAACCCAAACTTGACCTGATGCCAGTTCTCCTTCTCCTTTCAGCATGTATCTATCTGGAAGTCTGTGATGCCTTAAAACACATTTGTCTTAAAATATTAAGACAACAGTAAAAAACCCAACTCAACCAAACCGCCTAATTTCTGGACAACTGTTTATTTCCCAAATGTGAGCAGATCTGAATGCAGATAATATCTTTTTGTGAGTGGCTGATCCAAAGAATATCTTTCCTGCCCTCCCTTCATTTACTTCAGAGATGAAGTTAGCATGTTATTGATAAAGGCTTGCCTCATACACGGAAATTCAAGAGGATGAGGTTGTCCTGGCATAACTAGCTTTTGGTTGCTTCTCCCTCTTGCATGAAAGAGGCCATTTTGAGCTGATGGTGTACCCTGGTCACTTTATGACGTAAAAAGTGTTGTCATATCTTTAATATTACTTATAATATTTGCACTACAAAAAAAGATTTCCAGCATCAGCAGAAAAAAGAAATCACTTAGTACAGTTTTATATAACTGCAAAGGTGGTTAAGTGTGCCAATAATTCAAATAACGTCTAACCTACCACAAAGCCCCCTGTCATTTATCTGCACAGTAATATTTCCCTATTAGACTACTTCCATCAGACAAATTACTTTTAATCCAAAGGCAGGTTTCACCCATTATCTAAGCAAAAGGCAGCAGGGCTTCTGCAGGAAATACTTAAAATTTTCTGTCAGTGATTCTGGAACTGCTGTTCAGGACTCTCAGTTAAAAGGAGCTCCACTGAAATCACTGTAGCTATGCTTATTTTCACCAGCAAGGTGATTGGCCCAAAATGTTATATCTAATCCAGTTGCCACATAACTATACTGAGTACAGTCCTGGTGGGGCTAAACTTAGCAGCAAACCTCTGGTGACTTTACGGCTCCAGAGTGAGGTCCAGTATGTACCACCTACAAGGTGGCCATCCTGCGGCATGACAGGGAAGGCACAAGGGAGAATAAATTGGATGGGGTCCTGCTAAGCAATTTGTAAGGAATACAGTAGCTTATTCTGCTTATTCTGCAGCTTTGCAAAGGAAACCTCAGCCGTGTGATCTCAGTACAATGGCGCACTGCCTTCTCTTTTACTAGATTGGCACAATTTTACACAGCTCAGGAATTGCTGGCTTGATCTGCTTCAGATTTGATGGGTTTAAAATGATGAATGTCACTGAAATTACACTTCAGCAATGTAGCGTTTTTATCTTTTATGATCGCTACTGAAAAAATAATTCTCTGAATATTTTTTGCTTTAAGGATGAGCAAAGACTAATTTGGAAACTGACCCCTCCTGCATCAGCAAGAACACTTTCCTGAAATGTCCCACAGTAGTCAATGAGGCAAAGTCTGAGACATAGGTTCAACAAGAATCGGTTCCTAGAGGAGGGGAAAGATGCAGAGAAATGTGTGCTATGCTCTTAAGAGAAAAGGAAAGATCATAAGATAACTGCTAAATTAATAATTCCTAGTCTCTAACTGCTTCAAATACACTGTCGCTCTTTCCCACTGTTCTCCCTGAGTGTTTCAGGAGGATGACAGGGATGTTTGATAGCGACAGACTTCAGGAAGGAGGTAGCAGAAGTGCTCTGCAGGCAAGGCAAAGAAAATGAACACACATGTAAGATCCAGCACAGGACGCAAATCAAATTTATAAGAAAAATGTGCTGATAGACCATGTGGAATAGTGATGTGATAAATCCTTGAAATAAATCACATACTTCCCTACAAGTGAGAGAAAAGGATGGTACTGGCACTTTAAAAAAGTCCCAGATGAAGCCCTCTTCACTGCCATGCACACCTCAGAACTAAGTTCAGAGGCCCCTACGTGCTCTCCTCAGAATGTAACCCATGCTATACCCATCTTAGCACATGTAAGCTTTGCATGCCAATCACAAATCCTTGAGAATAGCTGCAGACCAGTTAAGTGCTTTTTTCTTTTCTTTTTTTTTTTTTTGTTGTGTGTGTATGTGTGTGGAAGGAAAAAACAAAGAAACAGATAGCTTCTACTTACAAAGTTTTGGAGCAGTTTGGAGATTGGTTTCTGTTGCTTGCGCCTGAGACGCTGTGGTAGGCTCCAGGGCAGGTGGTGAGAGCGAAGGTGCGGCAGAGGACAAAAACCCAACATCTAGGATGCGGTTATACAGAGAAGGCTGGAAGAACGGTTTGGAGGGCACAAGCGAGCTGTCACTTTGCACTGTCACTTCAGCCTTGCTCTTGGGACTAGGTACAGGGAAGGGTGAGGCATACACCTCCGAAGGCACCCAGGCAGACAGAGCTGTAGGATCCACAGCGCTCTTTGGGTCTTGTCCTATCCTCCCAGGGTCAAGGTGGGTAGGAGAGTCATACTCAAAAATCTTGTCCACAAAGACCCACTTGAGGCCAGCAATGCAGAGGCAAAGGCTGAGCAGGCAAGCCAGGATAGGAGCGATGCAGATCTTTTCAGAGTTGAGGCAGCCCTTCAGTCGCTCTGCCTCCAGGCAGACACAGCAGGTCGCGGCAAGGCCTGCTATCCCCTGGACCCTCCTGTCCTCTCTTTGGGTCCCCGGCATGTTCTCCTCAGCCGGGAGCCCGTTGAGGGACGCATCAGGGCTCAGCTGAGCCGAGGGGCTGGGAAAAGTGTCGGCAGCTACTTCAGACATGTTTAAGCATCAGCTCTCAAACAGCTCACCTCCAAAAGGCCTTAACTCTATCACAGTCCATTACTGTGAGACACAGACAAAAAGAGATGGTAGTAATAGTCACAGTGCTCTGCAAAAATCACAGAGTGGGAGTCAACAAAAGGTGCGAGCTCAGCAACATCATCCAAACTGGGAAAGGAGTAGCGCACAGGAAAAATGAGACCCCCCCCTCTTCGTCCCCCCACCCCTGCTCCCGAGCCCTCTGTTGCTCTCTCTGCCTCTCTGAAGCAAGAGCAGTTTTGCAATTACTGAGCTCCTGTTTGCTGGCCACTTTTATAATTCCTTAAACGCCTCTCAAGCAATTCCAGCTCTGCTGCAGGAGGGAAGAAACATCCCCCCAAAAGCAAGCACAACAAAACAAAACAGGGGGAAGGAGGGTGATGAGAGAAAGAAAACCACGAACACCGAACAAATTGACCGGATTAAGTGAACCAATAGCCCAGAGCGAAAGGCAAGATTCTCACCTTGAGCATCTGAGGCTGGTATCTGCTTAGACGAGGAAAACAATTGTCATGCGGTAGAAGGAGCAAAAGCAAAATCTGTAACAACAGCGGCAGCGGCAGAAGTGACAGTAGCAGCAGCATCCTGTCGTGTTACAGCGGCGGCTGAAAGAGGCTGAATCATTACAGAGCAGCAGGTGCTCTCTGTCTGAGCATCACTGCAAACAATATCATTACACAGAGGTTTGAAAGGAAGAGCGATGCCAAGACGGTGGTAACTCCCTTTCTCTCCCCTCCCTCTTTGTCCTTCTTGAGCGCTCATTCACTTTCCTCCTTCCCCCCCCACCC